TCACATACATACAAAGTTTTATGAAAATCGGAAAAGAAATAAGAAAGTTGGCAATGCGCATGCGCACTATTCAAATTCGATAATTCCATCAAATTTAGAATTTGATTATACACATACATACCAAGTTTGATGAAAATCGGATAATAAATATGAAAGTTGGCAATGCGCATGCGCACTACGCAAATTCGATAATTCCATCAAATTTAGAATTTGATTATACACATACATACCAAGTTTGATGAAAATCGGATAATAAATAAGAAAGTTGGCACTGCGCATGCGCACTTCGCAAATTCGATAATTCCATCAAATTTAGAATTTGTTTATACACATACATACCAAGTTTGGTGAAAATCGGATAAGAAATAAGAAAGTTGGTAATGCGCATGCGCACTACTCAAATTCGGTAATTCCATCAAATTTAGAATTGCATTATACACATACATACCAAGTTTGATGAAAATCGGATAGTAAATAAGAAAGTTGGCAATGCGCATGCGCACTACGCAAATTCGATAATTCCATCAAATTTAGAATTGGATTATACACATACATACCAAGTTTGATGAAAATCGGATAGTAAATAAGAAAGTTGGCAATGCGCATGCGCACTACGCAAATTCGATAATTCCATCAAATTTAATTATACACATACATACCAAGTTTGATGAAAATCGGATAGTAAATAAGAAAGTTGGTAAATTAAGTGGAGGTATACCTTGAATACGCTGCCGTGAGCTTAAATTAAAATATGACATGATTCAATCCACCTGAGAGCTTAATTTTATACCATAACTGGACAAAGATCATTTTTAAGAAATATAAAAGGGGGGGTATCTTTAAAACAACTTAAAATTTGATTTCTGCTGGGGTTGACAGCAAGGTTAATCTAATTAGCCGATTTATCTAATAATAGTCCCATGTTAAGTGAATGGAGTTTTGAATTTGCATGTAAGGTATGCATGTTATATATCTATGGAAAGCTGAGAATCTCTACATTACAAAATCGAAAGAATTATTGCCATATCTCTATTAGGGACCGAGATACAGCACTTTAAAGGCTCAAAATGGTCCATATTTAGACCCCTGTAAAATCGGAAATAGGTATCTGACCCCAAAGGTCAATACGTCATCAGATAGACAAGGTCACAAATTATATCACAGTAAATATGAAGGTCATCAAAGGTCAAGGTCATGAGATATATGCCTTCAAACTTTGAAAAAAACAATCCGGTCGAACAAAAAAGGCAAAACAGAAAATCAAAATTATGCTTCCTATCATTTATAAACAAACATTGAACAGATCGTTTGACAGAAACGTTACGCAAATCGGATTAAAAATGAATTCTGGGAATCGATTTGGGCAAAAATGAGGCAAACCAATATGGCGACAAACATGTTACTTCCGGTACGATTTTTTTTAGTTTAAAAGGTTTGTATTACGGCTGGTAATATTATGCATATGTTACTTTTGACATAAATCAATTCCACCGGAAGTGACGCCACCGGAAGTACTAACATCGAAACCGGAAGTAATGAAAAAATTTTGAATGTGCGCTTTTATTCCACTTTGCTGGCGGTCTACACTATGTAAGTTTCAAGTCAATCCAAGGCAAATGGTAGCAGTTAAAAATTTTCGATTTTCGAAAATTCGTTGCATACTTTTTTTTGCCGAAATTAATCGAAAAATACTATTTCGGTTATTATTTGATTTTCGAAAATTCGTTTGCCCTTTGTTACAAGAAATACAATGAAAGAAACCCGATCAAAATCGGTTGATAAACATGCCCTCTAGAGGCGATTTTATGTTTGTTGCTAACGTCGCTTCATGTTGCTCAGAGAATTTTCGTTTTACATTCATTCCACAATTCTCCACAGGTTAGAAAATCCGTTTAGCCGTACCCATTGCCATTTCCGAGAACTAAGCTCCCGGGATGAAGAAAAAAAAAACTAGAACTGTACTAATAACAGTACTGATGCAGGGCGTGTTACGACATTCGGGTACATACGAAGTTGGTCTATTGCAATTACATGGATGTAAGTACTTTTCTGCATCTCTAAATGCAAATATACAAAAGTGCCTGGAGTTGACGAACTTTCTGATAGAAATTGGGGAGAATGGTACTTTAACGGACATGTCAAACTCAGGAATTTTATCTATACTGACATCTCATTAACTTAAATTTGATACCACAATGTTAAACGAATGTAATTTTTAAATATGCGTGTTACATAGACATGTTGTATATCACTGTTAAGCTCAGAATCTCAGCATTATGAATTCGAAAGAATTATTGCTATATCACTATTAGGCTACGAGATACAGCACTGCAAAGGTTCAAAATGGACCATTTTTAAACCCCTATAAAATCGAAAATGGTTGTCTGACCCCAAAGGTCAAAAGGTCATCAGATATTCAAGGTCACAATTTATCATCATAGTAAATATGAAGGTCACCAAAGGTCAAGGTCATGAGATATACGCCTTCAAACTTTGAAAAAAAATATCCGGTCGTACAAAAAAGGCAAAACCGAAAATCAAAATTCTGTCCTCAACAAGTTTTAGATAAACGTTAATTCTATCATTTAACACCAAAATTGTTCAAATCGGATAATAAATAGCTCCAAAATAGCAAGTTTTGCATATTGAGGCAAACCAATATGGCGACCTATATGTTACTTCCGGTACGAATTTTTTTAGTTGTAACACTTTGTATTAGTGACACTAAGCTTATGCATATGTCATTTCTGACATAACTCAATTTCACCGGAAGTGATGCCACCGGAAGTACTAATATCGAAACCGGAAGTGATGAACATTTTTTGACTATGCAAAATTTTTTACCCATACCGACGGTCTACGTCATAAAAATTTCAAATCGATCCGTCAAAAAGCAACCGAAATAGCATTTTTCGATTAATTTCAACAAAAAAAAGTATCGAACGAATTTTGGAAAATCGAATATTTTCAACTGCTATCATATGTCCTTTGTACTAAGAATTATAATAAAGGAAACCCGAGAAAAATCGAACGATAAATACGCCCTCTACAGTCCATTTCCGGTTTTTTGCTATCTCACTTCCGGTTGCGCAGAACATTTTCGTTTTACATTTAATACGTGAATAGCCACGAGTTAGAAAACGTCATGAAGTTCGTTTAACGAACGCCCTGCAAAAAAAATCAATTCGAAAACAAAGCAGGGCGTTCGCTTACGAACGCCCTGCAATAAACAGTTAGAAAACAATGCAGGGCGTTCGTAAAACGAACGCCTTGCAATAAACAGTTAGAAAACAATGCAAGGCGTTCGAAGAACGCACTGCAATTACCCAAATACATCAAATTGTCTCATCAATATAAATGATCACACCAAATTTCATTATAATCATCTCAAAACTGTAGTCTCTATTGTGTTCACAAACAAATTTTGACTCGAAAGATTGTCAAATTCGACCTTGACCAAGATCTCATAAATATAAATGATCACATCAAATTTAATTAAAATCAGTTGAAAACTGTAGTCTCTATTGTGTTCACAAGAAATGTTGACGGACTGACAGACCAACGGGAGCGTAAAAAGGATCGCATGTGGATGTTGATGTCAGAAATGACGAGCATTGAAAGGAAACATTATTGAGAATGATGCCATGTTGAGACTGTCATATATTTGAGAATATTCTCATTACGAGCACTTTTTAACAAAACACAAGACAATATTATGGAATATAACACACTTCTTTAATAAGGTTAGGTACATAACGTTTCAACACAATTAAAGAAGTGTGTTATATTCCATAATATTGTCTTGTGTTTTGTTATATGTGCTCCTCGCTTCTATATGTCGTTCAAATCTTATACGAGCACTTTGGTGATTACAATTTTTACTTGTAGCTATACGATATCATGGGTCCATTTTCACAGGATGCTGGTTAAGAGGCATGTACCAGGTACTTATCAGGGCGAAATTCAAGACAATGGTCGTTAAAAATCAATGGTTGCCAATACCAAAATAGTATCTTGCAAGATTCGACACAATAAATAAGACATCTGATGAACTTCACAGTCGAAGAATCGAGTTGACATAATTGGTCACCATACAACGATTCACATCTTGATGATCAATTGAATCCATTTCCAGTTTAAAGCTAAATATTATATTTGAAGAAATAATACCTAGCATTAAGGACAATATATTTAGTCTATAATTTTTCAGACGATCCAAACTCAAGATGGCTGCCAAATTACCAGTACCAAAACACATCATCATGTACCCGACAATAAAACAACCAAATACATCACTACCAAATATCTGCAATATAAATGTTTGAATCAATTTTATTTTTGTGTTAAAGGAAAAATATTAGTCAAAATCAATCAGTGAAACACATACGTCAAATTTCAAGAATCTTTATAGCATGATGAAATTAAATGTTTTAATGGCATATTGGACAATTGATTTTACGGTATAAATATATCTCGAGATTCAAAATTGGGCATACTCTTTGATTAAAATATTGCGATAGGGTTTACCTTTCAAGATGTTGGAATTGTCGATTTCTATCTTGACTAAGATATCAACAAGCCTATATTAGTTACAACACGATTAGATTAATAAAATCAAACCTATAGTGGAACTAATAGCAACCTAACAAGAATAATATGATAATATGCCCATATCAAGTTCCATCAGAATTGCATAAAAAGCCACAATTTGACACGTTTTTACAAAGTTAAGGGCAATGAGCCAAATACCGTCCACCCCATTATTGCTGATTTCGAACTTAACCGAGATCTCATCAATATTTACACGCATGCTAAGCGTGTAGATTGTATAAAAAATAGTCTACAAGTCAATTTAGAGTCAAAGGCAATAACTCAATATTAACTTGACGGCATATACCATGTTTCATCCAGATTACATAAAAACTAAAAGCAATTATCTCGTCTTTAAAACAGGAGCAACGACAATATAAGTCTACATTTTCAAGTGGGCGTAGAACAAAAAAAACCCATCTATATGCATAATTCTTCAATGGCATATAAGAAGCACAAGTTATAGATAAATAAGACAATTATATGGATATATACTTCTGGAATATTTATTACTTCAACGATTCAATGTGGTTCTCACACTGTCATCAGGTATATAAAATGGAATCACATTGAAACGTTGAAGTAATAAATATTCCAGAAGTATATATCCATATAATTGTCTTATTCATCTATATGCAGTTAGTAAAATTTACATTTTGTTACATTAAGTTGGGAAGAAAGAGTATCAATCATTGCTATATCAGTATTGACTCAATAAGGTTAGTTTAAATTCAAAACAGTCATTAGTTCTGCTAGTTACAATAGTGATCGTAATCTATTCAAATCGTGTCTAAATTAGTCACAGCATCTTACTTCCAACAGGACCCGGTTCCTCATTACTATACTGATTATATTTTCTCTCAATATTACAACTAACTGACAAACACAGTTGGTTATCACGTCGACATCTTTTTAACTCTCTGTACGGGGTAACATTTGAAAATGTCAGAGTGCCATACGCAAGAGAATTGACACCTATTAGAGTAGATACCGAAATATTCAAGATATTAAGGAAATAAATGAAATATTAACAGTGTCTAATTTGTTTCTCTTTTACTAGGTTGAATTAATGTTATATAACATGTCTAGAAAGGGAAAGAGATTAAAATAAATGACTATATAAAATCAACATAGACTTTTGTAAATTTTCATGTCTCTAAACATTACATTACTTTGATTTACCAAAAATCGTTACTAGATAGCCCGAGGGAGAAATATACTGTCTAAATTCAATATTACACAGACAGAGTAAGCCATTTTATTGTCGAAATTAAAATTAAATTCTAATCGAATGTTTAATTGACTATTTATATCAACAAGAGACTGGGGAATGAAATGTTGATTAGACTGGAATGAGGTTGTCTGATATCTGAAGCTGGAATAATGACATAAAACACTGTGTTCCTCAAAAATAATAACCTCTCTTGCTGTTGACTACAATTGAAGATAATTATTTATATCTACGTACTATTCAAGTTAATGTCAAGTATGAATTGCAGTTAAATTATGATTTAAGATCCTATTGTGAGCAAACAATACCTGTATAGAAACTTAGTCTGGAAGCAATTCTTTATCAGCAATTTACATTTATATTGTGCTATCGTCTGTTTCTCTATTGTATTGAATTATATTTGTCTGCGATAAAACATAGACAGTTAAAGGTGTGGGCACATGAGCGGTCTTGGTCGGAGACTTTTGTCGGCGATTAGTCTTGGCTTAAGTGTCAACGATTGGCACGGGCACACTTGTTTGATATTATAAATCCTGTCGGCGACATGATAATCCTGTCGTGGAAGCACGGGCACTCGCGAGATTTTAATCAAGATTTAAGCGACAAAAATCTCCGACGAATACGGCTCGCACATTAAATATAATCAAATATGATCCTAGTTTTACTTTTTCTGTCTATCTTATGCTAACATAACGATTTGTATATCAAAATTTAAAGAGGTCAATAAAAATATAAATTAACTTCGTTTTAGTTTCACATTTAGTCTTAAAACACTAGTTTTATGAGCACATCTTGCTTTCTAAAGAATCACTCAAATTTCAATGATGGTAGGTAGGTAGATAGATGACAAGTTAACGTTCGCTTCCAGCGGATGCTGATATCGCAAACTAGGTAGTTGTTGGTAGTCGTAGTAGTTGGTAGTTGGATTGGTTCAAATTAGATGATTCTGTGTTGTTGGTTTGGTTGTTGATTCTTCGTTAGGTCTGGTCGGGTCGAATGACATGGCGGTGAAACTCGGCCCTGGATGGTGTGGAGTGAGTTACTCGATCTCCTTCATTCTTCCAAACTCGTTCTGATCATGGTATTTCTTGTTGGTTGGTAGTTGAATGGTAGTCGTTGGTTTGGTTTGGTTTGGTTTGGTTAGATTATCTGTTATCTGTTGGATTTCAATGATGAGAAGGCTTTCACAGATCTCGCCACTTGTTATGGTATCAAAATCGTATGTTACTATACGTCTCCGTCTAAGATTCTTGATTAGTTGGGACATTCATATATATAATGGTCCATGCTAATCAAATGGCAGATATGTATTATAGATCATTTTTTTTTATAAATAAATTACTTTAAATGCTAGTTTTCGAACAGGCCATTGGCAGTTGATTTATGAAAATTTTGAATACGATGGCAGCAATTCTGCTATGTCATTTAATGTCACTCAGAGACCGGGATTGTCAACTCACTATCACCTTAGTTGAGTGCAAATGTCTAGGATTTCACAACTCGAAAGTTTGAGTTCTAAAAAAAAAAAGATCTGACATGAGACATGGCATTTTCTGCTGAACATCGTGATTTTGTGTGATCATTAATATTACCTGCAAATCAGTATGGGGCTACTTGATCCATGTCATTCCCCGCGAATAAATATTTTTTTAGACTGATTTCGAAGAAGGGAGGATTCTAGAATCCTTGTCAGAGCTGCAGATGGAAGGGGAGAGGATCATTAAATATCATTAAAAAAAACAAATCACGATATTTCATCAAAAAATCGTTCCGTCTCAGATTGCTGGAAATGTTCGCGGATAACCCCAGATTCCCCTTGCTATAGCGCACCGTCGGTGCTCATGACTCCCCACTTCCACTTTTAATCTTGTTTGATCAATTTACATCGTCTAAGCATAGGCCCAACGAGACGAGTTTAATCGGTTAGAGAATCTAGCATTTATTGCAGTAACACACTTTTATTGGAAATTTGTGGAAGGTTGTGGAATCTGAAATTTCAAGTTATAGAATCCGAAATTTCGAGGTGTGGAACATGAAATTTCGAGTTATAGAATTCGAAATTTCGAGTTTTGGAATCCCAAATTTCGAGTTATGGAATCCCAAATTTTGAGTTGTGGAATATTCGAAGTTTCGAGTTGTGCAAAATATACTCAGAAAAATAAAAATAATTTGTTTAAGTGTGTTCAAAAGGCGTTCGTAATTCCCTCCCTTGATTATTGGATTATATAAATATATTTTCATCCGTTACGTCACTTGAACATTTAATTCATCGGTCAATTCGTTTTTGGTACTTTGCTTACTCTCCTTGACACCTGATACCATGTTTCATTATGAAATACTTACTCACTTATTATTGATAGCCTATACTGATATATATGTGATAAGTTCATTAGCTGCTACCATGTTTTGCCAGGATGTAGTTTGGATTAGGAGTTTCGTTTTGCGGTTCGGATCTTTAGTACTTTGTTTATTCATTTAGCGATAAATATTCAAATAAAATGTAAAAAGTTAATGGTCTGATATTTAAAAGAGAAAGCTGATAGACCAAAACACTTTTCCCAAAGATAGTGTATTATCGTTAACTTATAACCAATATTATAAATGTAAAATGTCAAAACTATTGATGATAAAATGCAGATTTAATAAGATAAATTCTGCTTTGGTCTCCCTGTTCTATACTTATCAAACCTAAACACAGATAGTATTTCCTTCAAGCCTATCTGAATGCTTCATAATCATAGAGAGTAGATTTCTTTTTAGATTTTTACGTGAATTTCTGATGTCTTTTCTCTAAAATTGCTAATAAGTTGGGTTGTTTGTTGCTAGTGACGTCAAATATCCCGTTTTCTATCATTTCTGCGGACAAAATCTATTTTATACATGAAGAAAAAAAAACCTTATATCCCCCCTTAGCATTATAGCTTTAAATCACAAATATTACCACAAATATAGCTCTCTTGAGTCCTGAGTGAATCAGTGTGTCGCCAATGTTTTAAGTTTATCATTAGCAATCCCTTGGGACCAGATTCTTTCAACAGTTTTCTTTCTTTTTCTTTCTGTTTCCATATTATAGCGGTTGGTAACATCAAATATAGCACATAATAAACCTAATCTCACATTATGACCTTTAAAGTTAGTAAAAGCCACTAAGAAACACAATCTTGCTAGCTTTACCGTGTAATCAAATCTATTGTTATTGTTCGAATTCAGCCTGGTTGCAAAATCTTAAAGTAACTTTCTTGTTAACTTATCGACATTCATGCCTCAATATCTTATTTATATTCAACTATTCATAGATAAAATCCTAATTCTCTTTCCATTAAATTTGCAGCTAGTTATGAGAGGAAAAATTGATTAGTACCTTATTGATTTTTAATGTTTTTTATTTAAAGACAGGCAGTTAACTAATAACTTAGAAAATAATCAATTCTTGTGATTAATAAAATACTTTACCTAATCAACGAATCAAAAGAACTTTCCCTATACTTTTATATTAAAACACAAAGGAAAGTTCCAGAACTAGAAAGTGAAAGATAAAACGACAATAAATTACGATTTAGTGAAAGGTTAACAGCACTGGGTAATGAAGATTCGCTAGTGCTCTCAACCAGACCTTTCAATCAAGGTTCTTTGTGGTCTAAAATTTATTATATTCTTTTCGACTTCACATTCAATGCAGCATACACCTCCATTATTTAAAAAAAATCCCCGAAATGCATATTAGTGCAGCTAGTTTTGATGCAAAAAATAATGTTTTTTTGAAATCATGTAAGTATATATCAGACATATTTTGTTCTATAATAGCTGGAATGCAAACCCTAAACAAAAGCTATAGGTAGTATAGCATAGTTCTTGATATTTTAAAAGTTTTAAATTCCGTTGGATACATGAAGTACATTTCTCTTGTCCTACTTGTCAAATATTACAAAAAATAAATCTGAGCTGCTAACATTTATTTTGTTAGTTTTTATTGCTATTTCATTTTTTGTATGAAAAGACATTTCACGAGATATTCACAATTCATTCTATAAAATAAAAATGACGTGGAATTCTTCTTTCATGATCGATACTTCCAGGTCTTAAATTGAATTTATAAGAAATTATCCTGACACGTAAAATTGAAATTTGAATTTGAAAAGTGACAATTAGAATTAGTTATCTATACGAGGAACATCGGAGTGTGAGTAATAAAATATAAATCTTTTTTTACAAAATAATGGCTTCGTGCTCAGGAAAGTCAAGATTTGATTTAAACGAAAAAAATGTTGGACTGATTGTGTAATCTGAATCATGAATAGGCATTGATTGAGTCTCTTGTGGTTACAAATACACAATTAAGTTAAGATTTCAAAAATATGGTCATTACACTGTCTGTAGATAAGAGAAAAATAGATCAATTCAGAAATACTGACTCTTGTAGGTTTTTAGATTGCATGGAAATTATTACCGAACTGCCATTGTATAGATTTTTACATATTTGGTATATTATATGTTGCTTTATGCTATGAAACTACAGACATTCATTAAAAGTGGGTTTCAGAGAAATATTGGACCTTTTTCTTCCCCTAATATACGAAGCTTATCCAATTAGTGAAACCGTACATCCAGTGATAAAGAGCAAGATTTCGCGACCCCTTTGACAAAACCACAATGCTATGATGAACAAAGTAACAAATTTCACAGTCTTTGAAAAAATTGCTCACCTTTAAGATATCACTGATAAGTAAGCCTTGTAAGAAGCCATTCAACATGGCACCAATTTGTCCCAGGAACCAGCCAGGGTCTTTGGTAATTGCTACCAGTTTACTCAGTCTTTGAGCCCAAGTCCCCGATTTCTTTTGTATTATAATGTCAGGATTTTCAAAAAATACCAACAATGCTCCCATTGATATAACAGAGAAACAAACAAAGAGTACAGTGAGCAACTGGTAATAGTCCAATTCGTGAGGTTTTTCAGCACCTTGTCTGGTAAGTATTGGCATTAAAGGTAATGTATATGTCCACCGATCTTCTGTACTAGGTCCTCCTCCTGCAATAGATCTATGCGAGGACATATTCCCCCATAATGATGGTCCAGGACAATGTATGTGTGACACAGATATGAGTCCAGCGCTCAACAAATTACCCATGATATGAGCAGAGTGGATAATTATCACCATTAAAGTTTGGAAGGAATGGAGAGAATGCTGTAAAGTTAATGTTGATGAAGCTGTGTATCCAAGCGAGTAACCAATCATCAAGCGTTCTTGGATGGACCACATTATAGGGTGTGAGAAGCCTAATAGAGCAGCTGATGGCAAGAGCGTGTAGAATGAAGGAACGGCATTAGATATGGAGTATAAAACATGAGTGAACAAACTGATTAAAAGTAAACATTTCGGTCTGAAGTGGTCCATTATTGGTTTAGCTGTGAAACAACCCAAGAGATAAAATCCATACATACAACATAATGAGAGATTTCCTAAATGTGTATTAATATATACACTAGATTGTAAGTTTCTTGATGGCATCACCGAGCTCACAGCTAGAAATGTAGCAACACATAATGCAATGAAATTCCTCCAAGTGGGTGGCCGTTTATCGTCAGCGCCCATTAATGAATATAAATTATTGTTCATAAAGCTTCTATAGTTCATTAGTTCCTGACGAAAATTCGTTTTCTGTACGGTTTCCCCTTCCTCCATTTTGATTATGTATTTCCTGTTTGTGTCTGCCTTAAAACCGAGAAAAATCTGCCTTTGTTATTCAACACACACAAAGCTAATAACTCGACTTTGATCACGTAATTCTAACTTCCAGATAACGTTCCATAGCTCCAATGAAAAACACTTCAAACACGTTACGTTAAGAGCTCATCAAATACCAACTGACAGTAGTTCATCGAATCATAATATTCTTTTAAGCGGATTAGAATATAGACGATAAAGTTAGAGAATAGTTGAGATTACTCTCAACTGTCATCGGGCACAGCTGCTCTTACTAATTACGATATTCCGTTTGTCTCTTATTCTTCACTAATCTTACATCCTTCAATCAATCAATATAGACTGAGACCTGAAATAATAATACAGAAATAGATCAAATACAGTAATAATACAATTAATACAGATAAAAATAAAAATACCACAGCACACATAACGTTGTTCCTGAATAAAAACAATATCATTAATTCTGTTAGTTTGAAAGGTTTTAATTGTCTAAAAGGTTTATTTCAATATTTGATCTTGTAAATTCTATTTAAAATACTAAGGTATATTGTCAGGTTACTGGTATACAATGGTGGAATTAAACCAATCTGTAAATAAATGATCAATGTAGGATGTAACTGGTAAAATAATTATAACACAAAAAACAACAACAACAATTTATTGTCGCGGTACTGGCAGGTACAAAAAGAGAAACAAATCATAATCTTGGTCTTTCGACTTGTGCAATGCTGAGAATGTGTTCGTAAAGATACAAACACAAAATCATACCAGGTGACACCTTTTCTAATTTTCGATCTTGAGGGATCAGTTGTGCGGAGTGGGGCCTTGGGATCCTGGGGCCACAGGATTGTCAACGAGGGGGAAATGGGGGCAAAGTCGGACTAGCACCGTAGAAACGCCACTATGAAGGCAAAATACAGTACACCTCGAAGGTAGCAAATCTGAAATGATGCAAGATTCACTGTTATAATGGTATCGACCATGAAACTGTTTAGTCGAGATTTGCAATTTTGAGATGTTATAAAACAGAATTAAAGAAGTATGTAACATTATAAAGTTAACATGCAGCATATAACAAACATGAGAGACATATGTAACATTACGAGTATAAAGAATAACACAGAAATAACAAATAAGAGAGACATATGTAAGATAACGAGTTTAAAGAATAACACTGGAATAAAAAAAAACAAGAGAGACATATGTAAGATAACGAGTATAAAGAATAACACTGGAATAAAAAAAGAACGAGAGACATATGTAACATTACGGGTATAAAGAAAAATCAAGGAATAAAAAAAACACGAGAGAAATGTGTTACATTAAAGAATAACACAGGAATAAAAAAAACAATAGAGAAATGATTTACATTATGAGTATACAGAATAACACAGGAATAAAAAAAACATGAGAGAAATGTGTAACATTAGAGGTGTACAGAATAAGAAAAAACAAGAGAGAAATGTGTTACAATACGAGTATAAAGAAAACACAGGTATAACATAAGAAATATTTAACATTAACATTGTAACAAACAAGAGAGACATGTGTAACATTAAAAGTATAAAGAAAAACACGGGAATAACAAAAAATTAGAGAAATGTGTGACATTAGGGGTATACAGAATAACACAGGAATAAAAAAAACATTAGAGAAATTTGAAACATTAGGGTATACAGAATAACACAGGAATAAAAAAAACATTAGAGAAATGTGAAACATTAGGGGTATACAGAATAACACAGGAATAAAAAAAAAACATTAGAGAAATGTGTAACATTAGGACTATACAGAATAACACAGGAATAAAAAAAACCAGAGAAATGTGTAACATTAGGGGTATACAGAATAACACAGGAATAAAAAAAACCCAGAGAAATGTGAAACATTAGGAGTATACAGAATAACACAGGAATAAAAAAAACCAGAGAAATGTGAAACATTAGGGGTATACAGAATAACACAGGAATAGAAAAAAACATTAGAGAACTGTGAAACATTAGGAGTATAGAAAATAACACAGGAATAAAAAAAAACCAGAGAAATGTGAAACATAAGGAGTATACAGAATAACACAGGAATAAAAAAAACAGAGAAATGTGAAACATTAAGGGTATACAGAATAACACAGGAATAGAAAAAACATTAGAGAAATGTGAAACATTAGGAGTATACAGAATAACACAGGAATAAAAAAAAAACATTAGAGAAATGTGTAACATTAGGACTATACAGAATAACACAGGAATAAAAAAAACCAAAGAAATGTGTAACATTAGGGGTATACAGAATAACACAGGAATAAAAAAAACCCAGAGAAATGTGAAACATTAGGAGTATACAGAATAACACAGGAATAAAAAAACCCCAGAGAAATGTGAAACATTAGGAGTATACAGAATAACACAGGAATAAAAAAAACCCAGAGAAATGTGAAACATTAGGAGTATACAGAATAACACAGGAATAAAAAAAATTTATCAAGCATACGCATTGTCCTACAAATAGCTAGGTGACATTTCCCTTGAAACACTAATTAATCTGCTGTCACCAATACGCTTTATATCCACATGACGTACTTTAATCAATGGTACATATGCTAGACTACTTTTGACAGCACTTTCATTTAGAAAACAAGACTGGGTATTCCCCAGTGATAAAAAACTATTTTCATTTCAGATCTCTTCGTAATTAATCACGAAGTTTCTCAACTCAACACACGCAGACTTTGGCGGAGTTTGGTGGATTTTGAACAGTTTATTTTCTAAAAACACAATCAGACACAATTTGGCGGTATTTGAGCCATAGTAACAGGCGATATACCTTAACAACTACGAAATTCATTTAGCAAAAGTAAAAAAAAGGTTTCTATTCACATATTGGCTAGATATGCCACCATATGCTTTAACGTTTTGAAAATACAAATACAGTTTAAAAGTTTTTAAATCACACCAAAATTGATCTTTGCCAAATTGTATACATTTTACCATTAAAACCGATATCAATTTTCATGAAAAGTAATAGTAAGGTTAATAATGTATCAAATAAACCTAAGGCTATAAGCTATGTGAATTTTCCAAAGCGGATGCTACAAACCCTGTTGCAGATTGGCATCATAACAGTAGATAAACAAATCAACAGTGCTAATAACCACAAGTTCAACGATGAAGTCATGTAGTAATTTATAAAGCAACTGACGAACGTAAGAAATTATAGCGTGAATAAGAAGAAAAGATATGTCAATCAGAAACATACCTGTTAACCTACTTCAATATCCTAACACAATCACTGTCTTTATCTTGTACCAGTCTACCAGTTAGTCTGTCACTGATGGCTTACTTCCGGTCAAACGTATCAATCACTATAAACATAGCTTACAACATAATTCAAACAGAGTTTCACCAACATATGACCATGATATATATCTTGTGTAGTCAACTATGGTTAGCTAAAAGAGAGTCAGTGAATGTAAAAGCCAACAGAACCAATATTGATTCCTTATATAGCAGGACGATTCCATGTCGACAATACATTATGTCTATTATTTCTACTTGTATCATTTCTAATTTGTCATGTTCTTTCATCATAATTTTTGTAATCCAATTCGTCTAGACTAAGAGTATTTTTTTCAAGAACTTGTTATTTTTCATTATGCTAATTAATAATCACTGTTTGCCAGATTTCCGTTATGCATCTTATATTATGTGTTTAGGCGTTCATCGGTTGCCCTTTAATACAAGTCAATTTGTCTACGAATCCCCTGTAGCCTACTGGTCTATCTTATCACTGCTTGGACGTATATGACTAAATCAAAAGAGAATACCATGCCGATGACATAATGGTAGCACGGATCAATAATAGAATTAATAGCAACCTATGAGAATATAATGGTGAAGTCAGCTAAATGGAAAAGAACCCGAAGCCACAGCTTTCTTCACATGCGTCATAAGTCAATAAATTCTTGTTGGTGATGTATAACTATTGTAAACAAATTATTAAACTCAAAAAAAAAAACGAACAAGAAATACTTTCTAAACATTGAAGACAAGGAACATTCCAGCAGTAACCTTTTACATTTCAATCGCAAAATAACTTGCAGAAACCCTTCCCCATTAATAGCTGAAACAGACATTCAAGAAAGTTCATGGAATCCAATTATCGCAGCTGATACTGATGACAAGTATAATTTTATAATTTTATATCTTCTTATCGTAGGAACAAGGTATTTTTGTGCTAACTGATCAGCTTTATTTAGTTATTACGACTGATTAATAGGTTAGTAACAATAATCATATTGTTATATCTTCTTATGATCACTATACACAATGATAGTATTTTGGCAAGAAAAAACTACTCTCTTGGCACATTCGATGGGAAGTAGAATTTTACGTAAACACATAGAACCAGTATTCTTTGACATTTATTTGCGTTGCATGAGCAAACATTATCACTTTAAAATTTGATATTACCAAGCAAAATATCAAGACAAAATTGGGATCTGTTAAATATATTGGAGGGAATGTTTCTATTCTATGTAAACTGACAAAAGTTATGTTTTTATCAACGTATACTCCTTCTAAGACTGTTTTGAAGCCTATTCTCAATTTTCTATTTAATGACGAATACAGTTCAAGATAGTATTCAAATCATTCGAATTCTGCACAGAATGCAAACAAACATTGCATGGAAACATTCCGTAAAATATTAATAATATGATTAGATTGGAGGCGAAAATACAAAAGAAATATAATAACTTGCCTATTATGCATACTTTCTCATCTGATTAAATAAAATGTCATGTAAATCTATATACAATTCTACACAAATACCATAGAAACAAGTTGAATTATTGATTACCACATACCTATCATTCCTCACATTTATAATAAAAATCAACCTCATATGGCATTAAATCCATCTATACACAACTAATACAATTGTTACAAATTGTGTAACGGTGAAGAAGAGCTCACGCATTGCATTACGATGACATAAGATAGCATTTTGTATATATGCAAATATGTATTTGTTTATGCACTTATAGACGACAAAAGTTAAGGTAGCTTAACTATCAACTGTTATTTAGTCGTCTGAACGCAACCAGCTAATCTTAAGCTGCCTTAACTTGCACCTACTTTCAAGGTGGCTCAATCCCTGGCTGGGAAAGTCACCAAAATAACAGTTAACCAGAACGGTTGATAGTTAAGCTGCCTTATAACTCTTGTCGTCTAAACACATCGTTTTTCGACTGAACTCTTAGTCCATGCTAATTCCTACGACATGAATAACTGCCACATGAAATTCGACTGAAGTTATAGGATAAAATGAGAAAACTAGAAGAGAGAAGAGATGTGTTAAATTATTAACAGTAAAACGGTAAAATATATAGAGAGAAGACAGGATGTCGATGTATTTTATTATGCGATCAACTAAACAATACAATCTCCTGAGAGAGGAAATATTACAGCACTAGTTCTTATGAACATTAGTAATTGCCAGCTTATTCACAATCCTTTGAAACAATTGGATATTTTTAATACCCACTGCTATTCTTTTGAGTAATCTAACACATTTTCTAAGCTATCAAAGTCTGGAGCAAATTTAAGAGGCATTAAGAGTAACAATTATTTGTCCAGAACCTGGAAGAATCCATCCAAAATTTATAACTACTTTTAAACCACTTTGCATGGAGCAGTCCCACCTAGTCCTTGTCTGGCCGTCTCACATGAAAGAGCCTTGTCTTTTGATGAAATAAGACAATGCTTACATTGGTAAAGTTATGTTAACATGAGCTCAGCTACTGTCTCATCAGATATTCAATTAACGGTGTTTGTTTTAAAGTAACAGTTTTATCGACAACTTCACCAATATCATTAGCCAAGTTGTTAAAAGTACAAAGCAATATTGACCTTTCGAATTTCGATGTTTTCATCTAATGATTGGCCAGAAACATTTTAAATATCTTTGTCAGATAATTCAGAAATTCTCTTGCTTTCATCTATGTAACGCTTTTGTTTTTTTATGACAATTTACGACCATGCAACTACAGAAAATTTATTTGATCGCCGGCAAATGTAAAAAAAGGAGACAATGTTCAAAAATATTAGAAACTGTAAAAGAAAAGCTCTCAAACCGCGACCATATTGAGTTTCGGCGGCGCGCCCGGAACAACTGTAACCCACTATGAGGTTTCCATCAGAGATCTCGTGACCATCCAACCACGCTTATTGGCTTTTCACTAGGCTATGGAAATGAATGTGGCATTCAACTGTGAGCTCCATGGGGAACGTTTGCAGTCGTATAAAAGCAGTGAAATCATAATAAGATCATCAAATGTCGTGCCAGAAAGTCTAGAGGGTGGTAAAGACACCAAGTCGCCGTAGAAATTCTAGGCTTAACCATTTTCACTGCGTCTTTGTGCGTGTGAACTACATTTTTATACGCCCACATGAAATGGGGGGCGTATATTGTCGTCACCCATGTTCGTCCGTCCGTCCACAATTGATCGTAAACACTCTACAAGGCACAATTCTTGACTGATTCTTGACAACTTGGTATGGTTGTTTGTAATCACTCAAGGATGAACCCTATAGAAAATCAGAAAAATCGAAAAATATTTAGTATGAGTAATTGTCATTGTTCTTGAAGCAATTGTAAACACTCTAAAAGGCGCAATTCTTGATGGATTTTGACGAAACTTGGTGTGAGTGTGCGTAATCACCCAAGGATGAACCCTATCAAATATCAGTAGAATCGAAAAATAATTAGTAAGAGTTATTGCCCCTGTTCTTGAAAACATGTTCAATTTCTAGCTTCTAAACGCTCTAGAAGGTTCAACTATTGACAGATTTTGACGAAACTTGGTGTGAGTGTTTGTTGTCACCTAAGGATGAACCCTATTGAAAATCAGAAACATCGAAAAATAATTAGTATGAGTTATTGCCCTTGTTATTGAAAATGCGCTCAATTCTAGGCACAATTCCTGATGGATTTTGACGAAACTTGGTGCGAGTGTATGTAATCACCCAAGGATGAGCCCTATCGAAAATCAGAAAAATCGAAAAAATATTTAGTATGAGTTAAAAATGAGTTAAAAATGCCCGTAAACACTCTAGAAGGTCCAATTCTTGAGAGATTTTGATGAAACTTGGTAATACTATTCAGTATCGCCTCAAAAAGTTCAAAAGAAGTGTATGTCTGAAGGTTGAATATTTCATACTGGTAATTGTTATGCTCAGTTCACACCAACGGCGCTTTGATGGCGCTTTAAAGCGGCGTTCAAAGCGGTACCAAAGCGTAACAAAGCTCGACTAAAGCGCCAGGGTCG